GTCAGGCCTAATTTAAGTTGGTCTCAGAAAAACTCTGTTTGAGTTTATATATAAATATATATATGTATATACTGTATATAAATATGTATATGTGTATATATGTATATATTTATGTATATGTGTATATATGTATATATATGTATATGTTTGTATATATGTATGTGTATGTATGTATATATGTTTATATGTGTATGTATGTATATATGTATGTATGTACATATATATGTATTTATATAGTGGTGAGCAACAAAGTGGTAGGAAGTAATAAACTGAATTTAATAAAAGATGCAAATGAAATTATTTCAGATCTCAAACATAAGTGTGAAAGTTTAAAAACTTTAAATATTGACAATATTGTTTATTTCTTTCTTTCTTTTGTTTGTTTGGTTGGTTGGTTTGAATCCAGTGGTGGTTGTAGGTGGTTGTGGTTGTAGTTTCTTCCTCTTGTTCTGCGTTCTTGTGAAAAGATTGTTATCATTAACCGAAGTGTCCGTGACGCAGGTTTAAAAACAGCGTGAGTGGATCTAGAACTGAGTTGATCTAGTTTCATTTATCGTCCGTGTCTTATCTCTCTTCAGCAGTGGAACAAACCCACAGTCACAGAGCAGGGTGTGTGTGTGTGTGTGTTTCCGTAGCTGCCGAGTGTGTGTGTGTGTGTGTGTTTACGTAAATCCCAGAAGGTATTCAGTTAAATTGTGAGAGACGGTTGGTGAGTGTGTGTCAGTGACGTCTCCAGTGGTTTCATTCATCCTCACTGTAATGTCTGTCAGGTGTTCGATGCCGCTCTTCATATACAGTTAAGGAGACAAACGCCCTGAGGTTTGTTGACAACGACTGTGAGCAGCTTGTACGCAGTAATCATCACATTAGACAACAATATACACAATATCTACGAATACTGTGTATACTGACTGGGCACTACACCAATGATACTTTTAGTTCATCGTTTTACACAGTTTCAGATTAGGTTCATAATTGAACTACTTTGAGTCAAATGATGCCAAAACAGAATCCTGTTGTTCAGAGTTCAGATGAACGTCACACACAGCGAGGCGTTTCAGTGATGCAAATTACTCTGAAAAAAAAAAGTTGTGATTCAACTGCCTCTTCCTACTTTAAAAGATATTTTCACAATTTAAATGATCTGTTCGTAGGGAAATACAGTGTTGGAAACATGAGGTCACACAGTGGTAATGAATTTTCATTCGACTCGTCTTAGCTGGGAGTCACTTTTCCTTCATGGTGGAAGGAACAGGTCGTAGTTATACTGACGTTAAGTTGTGAACCCAAAGAGGCCTGCGGGCCTGATGTTTGACACCCTTGGTCTGGACCGGGGGGTGTCAAACTCATTTTCACCACTGGGGGGCCACATCAGCAATGGAAGTAAATGGAAGACTGTATAGATCAGGGGTCCCCAAACCCCGGTCCGTGGACCAGTACCAGTCCATGGGTCTTTTGGTACCGGGCTGCAGTGGGACAGACAGAATTGTTTATTTTTATAAAATAACAAATAAATATGAAATAAATAAAATAAATTTAAAGGAACAAAATTGATCCTGTCCAAGTCCTGATCACCTAATTCTTTAGAACTTACTTCAAAAAACATTGAGATGTATTTCTTTTTTTATTTATTTTTTGTTAAAAAAACATCCCTGCTCTAACTGATCTACGGGCAAAATAAATAGTCACTTGACAGTTTCTGCAATCCTTGTTAAAACAAATTGCTCTGCGTTTTCATATAAGTGGAAAAAAAAACTAATTGAAAAACATTTCACTCATTAATATTTATACGACGTCGCGCAAAATACACAGCACACGTTGTTTTGTCACTTCAACAAAGCTGTCAGATTAGGTGTTGTCATAAAAAATGCCAGTCCAATTAGATGGAGAAATGATGGGCTCACAGGGAAACAACAATTCCTGATTTGTTTTCTTGCCAAAACAAACATACAGAACGGGAGCGCTGGAGGAGGACGGCATCTGGAAGAGGAGGAATTTCTGTAAAGTTACCGTCAATGACCTTCAAAATGATTTAAGGATAGTTTGACTGCAGTCTAGGTAAGACTGAAAATTGCCGAAAGGAAGTGAATGGAGTTGTGTCGCTGCCATTCAGACGCTGATGTCTGTGTGTTTTGCTTGATTTTAGCCGAGTTTGTGTCACAAACCCGGCTCTGATTGGACGTAATCAAACCGTCCCCGCGTCCCTGAGCTGAGCCACCGCTCGGTTGTTTTTCTGCTAAGACAACAACACGTACGGATTGCGTTGGGACGTGTGTAGAATTAAAAGTCAGTCAGATATAAACAAAAATATCACAATGTTTTTCCTCTCTAATGAATGAATCAATTATGTGAAAAAGCCTCTTCTGTGTGTTTAACCAGAGGCTTTCATTAGTGGAGTGAGGCTGAGCAATCTGAAGAGTGGGAGCTTAGCCGCGGGAGGACTACACCTGAGTGGGATGCATGTTAATCTCCACTTCCTGTTATTTGTTGGCCGTCGTCGGTATAACCTGATTCCTCAAAGTCAGGGTGACTTTCTCCCACCATGCACAGAAAAAAAAACAGAGGTGATGGAGAAATGATGAGGTCGACGAATGAGGAGAAAATATGAAAATAAGCAGAGAGAAGATGTCCTGTAAGGGATGTTGGTGCCATTTAAAAGCAGCCAGGGCTTGTTTCTTTATTTTTCTTTCCTTATTTGACCATGGGATCCAAGGTGGACGGTTTGTTTCCTCTGGGGGGTGCCAGAGAGCTTCTTAGATGGTGCAAAAAATAAGAAAGACAAAGTGTCATTACCTCCTCAATGGGGAAATTTACAGTGTGAGTCTTTGCAACCCACACAAGCTGCCACAGGAGGCGCCATTGAGTTTGGTTTTTCTTGGGCTCGTCAAAAGTTCAGCTAACCCTTCTTAACCGAGATTCTTCATTGGGCTGTAGCACAAGGCCTTGTAAATTGCATTACTGCCTCCTACTGGGTGCACTTGATGATGAAAGATGAAAGAATTTTTGCTAATGAGTATATATCTGTTTGTTTAGTTTTCTTCTGTTTTTTTTTGTGGGAGAATTTAGTCCTTTTTTTACCTACCTTTTCGTAGCACGTTTCGTTCTCGCTCCTCTTTTCCCTTGGGTAGAATTTCTTCCTTATATCTGACCAAGATGGATTGGCCTTGAAAACGTCCTTTCTGCTTCCTTCACCATCTTTGCATTTTGCCTCTCCAGGCAGGGATGTGTAAATCCCCCTTCACTCCCCTCCTCCTCCTCCTCCTCCTCCTCCTCCTACTCCATTAACTGGCACACAACATCCAATATTTTCTCCAGCTGGAGTAGAACTGAGCAGATTAGGGATGGGTCTGTTAAGGTGATCAGACTTGCTCCCTGCGATGCCCAGGGACCATTTTTCATCTTTTGAGAGTGTGTGTCTGGCCATATGGTATAGATTTTCTATCAGTTCCTAATCATGTCGCCCTGATTTGGAAAGTGATTGGTCTGGTCTCCTGATATCAACACGCTAATATAGATTTGGTATTTGCCTGAGGTTATTTGATGACCATTTGAACAGTCCCAATAGTTTTTTTTTCTCTTTTTCACTTCCATCTGTGACCAAACGAGATGAGGCGCTGCCTTCGTTCACTGCCGGGTTTGTCAGCAGTTACAGTCGGTCGAGGATCACAAATGAAGTGCTTTTTTTTCTTAACGTCATTACATACAGACGGTCTGTAACCTGGGTTTCCTTTTATTCTTATCCAAGCAGACATTTGAAACATCAATATTAGCAGAGTGCACTTCTCTTCATATGGAAATTCACTTATACACGGATGCACTCGGGTTTTGTGAAATGCATAATGTCCCTGCACTTTAAATGTAATCTGCCTAAGTATTTACCTGAAAGAAAACTTTATGTTTTGCTGCCATAAACGGTTTGAAGGTAAATGTTGTACAATTTGACCATAAAATGGAAACCTGCTGCACAGGTTGAGCATCACTTCATGAAGACGTTGGTCACGTTGGTCATACTCTATGTACTAGCATGTTCTATAGCCATCTGATAACCACACCTCCAGCTGTGCTGTTTCACCAGTCTGTTATGATATTAACACAACTGACATTAATCTCACAGACGGGGTTGTAATTAGTTTGTCAGGTCGCTCTTAATTAAAAGGAGACAAAGTACACACCGAGGTTGTTCCACGTTATTAAGACTAACACATGCTTCCGAGCAGCGTGTTGTAGATGATGAGATTTCAGCAGAGGAAGAAAATACAATAATGCAATATCTGGCAACCTTTTGTGTATTTCATGCGTAGTTTCCAACAGGTAAATCTATAGTGTTAAGAGAGCAGCTGTGGAAGGAGCCGCAGGTAATGAGCAAACAGTTATGGAAGGCTGCCGGTGCCTCCTGAGACACTGAGAGGCTTCTTTAGAGGCTGTGAACAGGCACCTTTGACCACAGTCCACCAGGAGAAACCACTGCTGTGAGCGCAGAGACACGGAAAGACTAATTGTCAAACGGTTCTATTCCCCGGTGAATGCTGCAGTGCTACTGTGGGTGTTCCGCTTGATTGGAGTTCCCGGTGGTTGATCACCGTGTCACAGCAGGGCTGCAACCTCAGCACAGAGGAGTTGGAGGCTGATTCAACGATCCAAGAGTTGAAAGGGTCTCTTTAGGGTAAATAAAGGGGTCAAAATAACCGCTGTGAAATGGGCGGAGCTTACGATTGACCACTTCCTGCAATAGTATAAGAAAATAAAATTCTGGATTAAAAATATTTTTTGAAAAAGAAATGACATATATACATATGTACTGTATGTATGTTTACATATATTCATATATATATTTGTGTATATATATATGTATACAGTACATACTATACATATGTATATGTATATATGAATGTATTGACAGGGTGCTACCTTAGCTAACATTCCGCGTGTCATATAAAAACATGAAAGCTAATGCTGCTAAACTGGCGCTAAATGCTACTTTTTCCCATGTGCCCCTGCAGGTCATCTGATGGTGCGTGCGCCGCGGGAACGGTTGTGGTGAGCCGTCTGAAGATGGGGGAGATGGAGGAGGTGGACGTAGACCACATCGCCACTGACATCCCATCACAGAAGGTAAAAATACCTTAAGTCTCCACATGCTAGGTGCTAATGCTAAGGTCAGTTAGTCTGTCTGTAGTATCTGTGAGTACAGTTGTGACTCAGTCATGTTTACACTGGAATTCGTTGCCAACTTAAAACCTTTGGTCACGTGACCA